TGAGCAAGATATTACTTTGCTGCAGAGGGATTTAGATAGACCGGGGGACTGGGCACTCAAATTGCAGATGAAATTGAATGTTGAAAAATGCACTTCAGCGTAAACAATACACAAGCAACGTATACCCTTTATGGAAGCGAATTAGGGATAACTGTAGCAGATTGCATTAAGGCTGTACTCAAAATTTGTGTATTTTAAAATGCTTTCGTGTATTGCTATTCCATGTATTCACATTGTATGCAGGATTCGACTGATTGTTCGGTAAAATCACTCCGTTTACTATACAAGTGAAACTACCGAACAATCAGACCACCCCAGGGATAAGTGTGCCTCTCATTACCGTTTGCAACAATGTTGCAAATCCCTAATTGACAATCGGTACTTTGTTCTATGGGTGGTCGCCATTCGGGATACGAACACGTGGCGGCGGCCATCTTAACTTCCGAACAGCAGTGTTTGGTCGTCGAGTGTCTGAACCCAAATCGGACACTCGACTAAGTAAACAATGCTGAGACCTCCAGACTTCCATAGCTTCGTGCGGACACAACCGAACGAGCCGCCGTTCAGTAGAAAGACTCATCCGAAGAAGGGGATTCACATGAAGGCAAGCAACAGCCATTTCATTCGGTATTTTCATCAATTTATACCCACGAACCAAGACCGACCGCAGGGCCAAAACTTATGGTACTATTTTCGGCTACTGTTACCTGTGTGGTCGGTCAAAACTTTACTTTTCCATAACTCCCGAACGCCGCCATGAGTGTGCCAGCCTCAGAGGATTACGGCAATCTTCCCCTGCCTGACCTCCTGGAGGATGGAGCCCAGGCAGGGTCCATAGAAGAGGTCCAGTTAGGGGACCGACTAACTGACGGAGAGCGCAGACAGGCACAGCAGATGCTGTCCGCCAAGAGAACAACATTCTCCAATCTGCCAGGGTATACCCCCCTGGCCTCCCATAGAGTGGTGACCCCCGACCATGACCAACAGCCTCTGTGGCAGACCCCATATCAGGTACTAGAGGCTGTGTGGGGAAGTATGCTGCAGGAGATCCAGGAGATGCTCCGGATAGGGTCACGAAGAAAGACGGGACTACTCGGTTCAATGGAAGCTCAATGACAATATTGTCTCGAACACATACCCTGCATAGATGAGCTGCTAGATAGGATGGCTCAGGGCCAATACCTCACCACTACTGACCTGTGTAAGGGTTACTGGCAGATCCCCCTAGCACGGATGCTGTCCCCAAGTCTGCCTTAGGCACCCCCTTTGGCATGTATCAGTTTAAGGTAATTCCATTCGGGATGAAGAATGCCCTGGCCACTTTCTAAAGGATGCTGTACAGGCTGTTAGATGGTCTCCAGGATTATGCCTGTGCATACCTGGACGACATCGCCATATACAGCTGTAGCGGAGATGCAATATTCCCCAGGTTATCTCCGCTTATAATCCAAGAGAGGCTCAGGAACAAGTAAATAGTAAATCCACAGGTAGGGTTTCCAGCAGGTAAAATAACAGCAATCCCAATAACTGGACGACACACAGTTTCAGGAGCAGAACTGAAATCTTTTAATCCACACTGTCCTTTTAAAGCATGCTCCCATGCAAGGGAGGGATTTACAATCATTAGTACAGTAGCCAATCCTGTCCTGGTAACCTCCCACCCATCTCCTCCCCTCAGCTTGCATCATAATCCCCTTATCCAGTCTAGCAATTCCCCCCGTTTCTGGATGTACCCCTAAATGTAGGGGTACCCCTTTAAATCCTACATCCCCTGATAGCCCTGATCTGGGTGAAAAACATATCCAAAAATCACCCAGATCAGACCAGGGGTTCGGGAAATGTATGGAGGGAATAAAATGACCGACCGCACTAACTGAGACAGCCGAATTTGGTTCCATGCGAATGGGCCCTGCGGTCGGTCCTGGAATAAGGGAACAAACTGCATGAAAGCCTCTAGCTATAGAGGCTAGGGAGGGTTTGCCTGAATCCCCTCGTTCGGTTCTTTCTATCTACCGAACGAGGGGCCGTTCGGTAGTTAGGAACCGAACGGACCGGGCTTGTGGAGGATTCAGCGGTGTTCACCTAGTCGAGTGTCCGATTTGAGTTCCAGACACTCGACGGCAAAACACTGCTGTTCGGGAGTTTTTTGTCGAATGGCGGCCACCCCCGAGAACAAAGGACGGCTACTTAACTTGTCAATTACCCGTTCGCAACAATGTTGCAACGGGTAATTGAGGACACACTTACACAGGGGAGGTCTGATTGTTCGGTAGTTTCATTCCCTTAGTTTATTCGAATGATTCTACCGAACAATCAGAGGAATACAATTCTTTTAAACACATATAACAACAGCAGATCACACGAATGCAGTTATTCACAATACATTTGCAGGACAGCCCAGTGCCATCCGCTACACTGCTCCCCCTTGCCCAGAAGCCGGCATACACAGTCTGATCCAACACGGAACGGCTTGGGGATGTCCGGGGACTCACGGATCATTTTTCCAGGTCAGTTTCTCTCGACAACCCATCGGCATTCCCATTCTGTTTAGCCGGGCGGTACTGAATATTAAAGTCAAAAGGTTGCAGCGCCAAACTCCAGCGCAGCAGCCTGGCATTGTCCCCAGCCACCCGGTTTAGCCATACCAGCGGGTTGTGATCCGTGAGTAAGGAAAAGGGCTGTCCATATAGGTACGGCTGCAGTTTCTTTAAGGCCCACACCACAGCCAGGCATTCCTTCTCGATGGCGGCGTAGCTTACTTCTCGGGCTAACAGCTTGCGACTGATGTAAGCCACGGGGTGTTCTCCGCCATCGGCCCCGACTTGGCTCAGTACTGCTCCCAATCCAAACATAGAAGCGTCTGTGTGAACAAGAAAACGTTTACTTGGATTGGGAGCTGCCAAGACAGGGGCATTTATCAGTGCATTTTTCAGATGTTGGAATGCCTGCTCACACTCCGGGGTCCAGGTCACCTGGCGGGGCAAATTCTTCCGGGTAAGGTCAGTGAGGGGCTTGGCGAGGGCGCTATAGTTATGGACAAATTTCTGTAATACCCAGCGGTCCCTAGAAATGCTAAAACCTGGGTTTTAGTCCTAGGGGTGGGCCACTGGGCCACGGCCTCTACTTTGGCTGGTTCGGGCTTCTGTTTGCCGCACCCCACTCTATGTCCGAGGTACTGCACCTCGGCCATCCCTATGCTGCACTTGGCCGGTTTCAATGTCAAAGCAGCTTCCCTAATCCTATCTAGAACCGCTCCTATATGGGCCAAGTGCTCCTGCCACGTATTGCTAAAAATGGCAATATCGTCCAGGTAGGCACAGGTGTAGTCTTGGAACCCATCCAGGAGTCGGTCTACCATCCTCTGGAAAGTAGCTGGGGCGTTTTTCATCCCAAATGGCATGACCTTAAACTGGTACAAGCCAAATGGGGTGACAAAGGCCGACTTAGGGATGGCATCTGGGGCCAGAGGAATTTGCCAATACCCCTTACATAAGTCTAGTGAGATATTGACCCCTGGCTATTCTGTCCAGTAGCTCATCTATCCGGGGCATAGGGTATGCATCGGACACAGTTTTCTCATTTAATCTCCGGTAGTCTACGCAGAAGCGGGTCGTACCGTCCCGCTTCGGTACGAGCACTACAGGAGAAGCCCAGGGACTGAGGGCTCAATCACCCCCAGTTGGAGCATCTCATCGATCTCCTTGCACATTTTTTCCCTTACCGCTTCCAGGATGCGGTAGGGGGTCTGGCGCATGGGTAGTTGCCCTGGGGTCTCTACCCGGTGAGTGGCCAAAGGGGTGTACCCAGGTACATTAGAGAACGTGTCTCGTTTCTCCTCCAACAGCCGCTGTACCTCGATACGCTCCTGTGGGCTCAGCCGGTCTCCCAGTGCAACTTCCCCTAAATCCCCAGACAGCTGCCCATCTCCCAGCAGATCTGGGAGTGGTAAGCTGTCAAACTCGTCAGAATTGGGTGCACATATGGCGGTTACCTCCTCGGAGCGCTCCTGGTAGGGCTTCATCATGTTCACATGGAGCATGCGTCGCCCTCCGTCCCTGTGCAGGGACCGATTATATAGGTGGTGTCACATCTCTGTTCCACCACCCTATAAGGTCCCTGCCAGGCGGCCTGTAGCTTGTCATGTCGGACAGGCTTTAAAATTAGCACTTTCTGCCCGACCTGAAAGCTACGGTCCCTGGCTCCCCGATCATACCATGTGCGCTGGCGGGTCTGTGCCGCCTGAAGGTTTTCCCTTACCGTCCTAGTTAAGGCTTCCAGGTGGTCCCGATCTCCCTCCCAATGCTCTCTTATAAGATCTAATGGGCCTCTGACTCTCCTCCCAAATAGCAGTTCAAACAGGGAAAACCCCGTGGATTCCTGCGGCACCTCCCGGTAAGCGAATAGGAGATGCGGCAGGAACCGCTCCCAGTCCTTGTGGGTCTCTGCGAAGGTTCGGAGCATTTGTTTCAATGTACCATTGAACCGTTCGCAGAGCCCATTAGTCTGGGGGTGGTAATGGGCACTGATAATAGGCTTAATGCCACAGATCCTCCAGAGGTGTTGGGTGAATTCTGCGGTAAATTGGGTACCCTGATCCGAGATAATCTCCCTGGGTAATCCCAACCGGGAGAATATCTGCATGAGGGCATCCGTGACCGTTTCAGCATGGATGTTGGTCAGAGCCACTGCCTCTTGATATCTAGTAGCATAATCTACTACCGTTAAGATGTACCTTTTGCCTGACGGGCTAGCTTTCTTGAGGGGGCCTGTGACGAAGTGCCCTTCGCCACTTGTGCCTGGAGAGGACTGCTTGCCCGCCTCTTGCCCTGTGACTATGGCCCCTGGTTTGTATTGCCCTTTAACCCCTTAAGGACACAACTTCTGGAATAAAAGGGAATCTTGACGGAGTATTTCCGTCATGTGTCCTTAAGGGGTTAAAGACATGATTTGGGCATAATGGATTTGTGTTGTGCTGCTGCTGGCCCTTTAAGAACCATCTGGGGACATACTGTGGAGTTACTGGGTGGCCACCATTTCCTGTATCAGAAGCACATGGTGAGAACAATGGATGGCGGCCATTTTAACTCATAGACACTGTTTGGACTTTTCAACACGGTGCCATCTTGCCAGTATTTGGTGCACAGAGACATCGTGCAGTGGTTTTGGACTATACAGCAGGGGACACATTATAAAGTGATTGTTTTTCATTTAGCCTGTATATGTTCTGCAGAATCTGCATTAAACTGTATTTTCCAAAGTACTGAACGGATCTGGGTGAATTTTGGATATGTGGTTCACCCAGATCCCCCGGTTCCAAGGATATACTTTTTATGGGGTTATTGCATGTTTTGGGGTCCCTGTGTGTTTTATGAAACTGTATTATTTCTGGCCAGCAGATAATTGAACTTTGTGTATTGTAGAAACTCAATTATCTAGCCTGGCCCAGAGGAGGAGTTTTGTGTTGCATAAATTGTGAGTTCTGTGTGCCAGTAAATCAGTCTTGTTCCAGCATTAAGCCTTGGCTCATGTTTGGGGGAAGGGATACCTACACTCTGGGGATTGCTATAATCACTTACTCCCCAGAGGAAGCTCTTGCAATAGCTTGATTTGTTCATGTTCCTGCTCTCTGGGGAAAGAGAGGTTCACCCACTGGAAGCTGGATCCTGGCCTTGGGTCCAGGGTGGGTGGAAGCAGCAGAGACCCCGGCGCAGTTGCATCGCTGGAAGTGGGGTCTGCAGTGCTGATGGTGTCGGTTGGAGTGCTTGGAGTCCTCAGCGAGCACTAGGAGCATCGATTGGCGGAGGTACTCAGTCGGAGTGCCAGCGTTCCGTCACAGGGCCTATCAAGTCTACCGCTATTCAGCTAAAAGGTTCCTCAATTATGGGAAGGGGGTGTAGTTTCGCCTTCCTCCGGTTTCCCCTTTTCCCTACTCTTTGGCAGGTATCGCAGGTGGTGCAATACCTGCGTACCTCCTGGCTGATCCCTGGCCAGAAGAAGCTTTGGGTCAGTCGGTACCTAGTGCGACTGACCCCTAGATGTCCGGATAGCAGAATATCGTGCGCTATCCTGAGTAGCTCTGCTCGGTACCGCTGCGGCACCACTAGCTGCCTCATCACTATGGGGTCTGACCCAGCAATCTGCTTGCCTGTCTCCCTGTACAAAAGCTGCTTGTCCCAGACAAATCTCTCTCCCTCTCCCCCAGGAGGGTCTGCTGTCACCTTGTCCCTATACACCTGCAAGGTGGGGTCAGTCACTATCTCAGCTGCAAATTCGTTAGGAGGGGCCCAGGGAACACAGTCAAGGGAAGGGGAAGGATCTCTTACCTGAACCTCCGGGAGTGTGTTGTAGTCCTGGGTGCGGGCCTGTTGTCGGGTGACCACAGGGTGAGCTTCTCCTGTGGTGGGTGTCTGGGGCTCAAAAGCAGACGTGAGCCTCCCCAGATCGTTCCCCAATAAAACCTCCGCCGGTAACTGCGGCATCAACCCCACCTCCGCATGTCCTGACCCCGCTCCCCAATGTAAATGTACCCTTGCTGTAGGTAGCCGGTATACTGCTCCCCCGGCTACCCTGACGGCCACAGTCTTGCTTAGTTTAGCCTGATTGGAAACCAGGTGACTCTTTACCAGGGTGATGGTAGCCGCTGAGTCGCGTAGCCCCTGGACCACTTTACCCTCCAGATATACGGTCTACCTGTGATGCTGTCGGTTGTCAGCATTGGCCTGGACTGGATCTTCCTTGTGCAGTACTTCCCACTGTTCCACGGTTGTAATGGGAACAGCTGAGCCATATGGTGTGGCCACGATATCCTGGTAGTGGTGGGCTGCGGCTGCTCTCGGTGGTGGTGGAGGACCGGGTCGGATCCAGGTGGAACGATCCCGCAGCTGGGGGCATTCCCTTTTATAATGTCCCCATTTCTGGCAGTGGTGACAGGGGCCAGATGTGGGCTGGCGGAAACGTGGCTGTGCAGCGGGCGGTGGTGGTGGTGGCAGGGGTCTCGGTGGAGCCGGGGTGTAGCTGGTTCCCCCAAAGGTTTTAAAAGTGGCTTTTGGAGCTGCAGGTTTTTGCTACCTGCGTGCATCCAGGTACTTATCTGCCTTCCTGGCAGCTTCGGTGAGAGAGGTAGGGTTTCTGTCTCTTACCCACTCCTGTACATCGCTGGTTACTCCCTCATAAAATTGCTCCATCAGCATCATCTGTATTACATCCTCCATGGACGGTGCCTTGCTAGCTTGCACCCACCCAAGTGCTGCCCTTTGTAACCTGCATGCCCACTCTGCGTGTGAATCTTTCTCCACCTTCTTTAAGTCCCTGAATCTCCGCCGGTATGCTTCTGGTGTTATAGCATACCTGGCCAGTATAATTTCTTTAACTTTACTGTAATTCCGTATCTCTTCATTGGGTACAGTACAGTATGCCTCGGCTGCCCTCCCAGTTAACCTTCCTGCCAAAATAGGTACCCAGTCCTCTGCGCTGATTCTATGCAGTGCACACAGTCTTTCAAAATCTTGCAGGAAAGCGTCTATATCCTCCTCTGCCTCCACATACGTTTTAAAAGCCTGGTATAGTATTTTAGGCTTACCTTCTTGTGGCATATTTACTGCAGAGCTGCGTTCTGGGGCTGCTGTTTGTTTTCGCAATATGAATTCCTGGACCTCTGTCATTGTTTTTGAAATAATCTCTGCTGCAGGGTGTTCCCCATAGAAAGACAGGCGAAATTGTAGCTGCCTCTGGAACTCCATTTGTTCCGGTGTTTCTCCCGAATCCCCGTTCGGGAACCGAATCGCCATCCATTCGGTACTCCGCCATAAGTTCAGTAATGAGTACTGCTTGCTTCTTATTGCTGGCATGTATACCCCTTGCCTCCAGGAGGTCTTTTAGCGTGGAGCGTTTTAGTGTGGCAAAATCAATCTCCATCCGTACTCCATTTATGCTTGTTCCTCTGTGAGTCTGGATCCCAGCGCTGCCAACCAATGTAGCGGAGATGCAATATTCCCCAGGTTATCTCCGCTTATAATCCAAGAGAGGCTCAGGAACAAGTAAATAGTAAATCCACAGGCAGGGTTTCCAGCAGGTAAAATAACAGCAATATCCCAACAGCAATCCCAATAACTGGACGACACACAGTTTCAGGAGCAGAACTGAAATCTTTTAATCCACACTGTCCTTTTAAAGCATGCTCCCATGCAAGGGAGGGATTTACAATCATTAGTACAGTAGCCAATCCTGTCCTGGTAACCTCCCACCCATCTCCTCCCCTCAGCTTGCATCATAATCCCCTTATCCAGTACAGTAATTCCCCCCGTTTCTGGATGTACCCCTAAACGTAGGGGTACCGCTTTAAATCCTACATCCCCGGATTCCACTGATCTGGGTGAACAACATATCCAAAAATCACCCAGATCAGACCAGGGGTTCGGGAAATGTATGGAGGGAATAAAATGACCGACCGCACTAACTGAGACAGCCGAATGTGGTTCCATGCGAATGGGCCCTGCGGTCGGTCCTGGAATAAGGGAACAAACTGCACGAAAGCCTCTAGCTATAGAGGCTAGGGAGGGTTCGCCTGAATCCCCTCGTTCGGTTCTTTCTATCTACCGAACGAGGGGCCGTTCGGTAGTTAGGAACCGAACGGACCGGGCTTGTGGAGGTTTCAGCGGTGTTCACCTAGTCGAGTGTCCGATTTGAGTTCCAGACACTCGATGGCAAAACACCGCTGTTCGGGAGTTTTAAAATGGCCGCCGCCACGTGTTCGTTTGTCGAATGGCGGCCACCCCCGAGAACAAAGGACGGCTACTTAACTTGTCAATTACCCGTTCGCAACAATGTTGCAACGGGTAATTGAGGACACACTTCACACAGGGGAGGTCTGATTGTTCGGTAGTTTCATTCCCTTAGTTTATTCGAATGATTCTACCGAACAATCAGAGGAATAAAATTCTTTTAAACACATATAACAACAGCAAATAACGAATGCAGTTATTCACAATACATTTGCAGGACAGCCCAGTGCCATCCGCTACAACAGCGATACTTGGGAGGAACATGTGGGGGCTGTGCTGGACAGGATTAGGGAGGCAGGATTTACTCTGAAGCCCAGCAAGTGCAACCTGGGGATGGCGGAGGTACAATACCTGGGACATCGGGTGGGGTGTAGAACACAGAAGCCTGAGGAGGCCAAAATGGAGGCAGTAGCTAGTTGGCCCAGTCCCCTTACTAAGACCCAGGTGCTGGCTTTTCTAGGGACGGCCAGTTATTATAGGAAATTTGTCCCCAGCTACAGTGCCCTAGCTAAACCCCTTACGGACCTTACCAAAAAGTCTATGCCCAGGCGAGTACACTGGACTGTGAGCAGGCGTTCCAAGCTCTCAAGGACGCCCTGACAAATGCCCCTGTCCTGGCTGCTCCTTATCCCAAAAAACATTTTCTCGTTCACACAGATGCCTTCATGTTTGGGTTAGGAGTGGTACTGAGCCAGGACGGGGATGATGGCTCAGTACCACATGGGTTACCTCAGCAGGAAGCTGTTGTCCAGGGAGGTAAGCTACTCCACCATTGGGAAAGAATGCCTGGTGGTGGCGTGGGCCCTCAAGAAGCTGCAGCCCTATTTGTATGGACAGCAAATCACCCTGCTCACGGATCACAACACGTTGGTGTGGCTTAACCGGGTGTCAGGGGACAATGCCAGGCTGCTACAGTGGAGCCTGGCCCTATAAACATATGACTTTACTATTCACTACCCAAGAAGAATGGTAATGCCGATGGGTTGTCCAGACAGACAGCCC